TATATAATTATTTGAATGTTATGGTTAGGATATTTATCTTGCCTTCCTTCTGCCATCAGCCTAATATTGCTTTTTGTAATTGTGGGAACTGCAGGAACCGATGGTATTGGAATGGAACTCATTTTGCATCACAAATCTTTGGCCATGTTAGTGTTCTATTCCTACCATCCCTATATTACATTATCACCATGGGGTTTCAAAGTAAACCAATCTACCCTCAACTATTTGTGGGCTGGCGTTGCAGTGATTCTAGAATAGACTATCTGCTCTTAATTACTCCCTTCGTCCCAATATATAATATTTTTTTAATTCCTTAAGATGATGTTTTGATCAATAACTATTATAATGTTATGTGGTATAACTGATACAAAATCATTTAAAAGATAAGAACATCAATTTTAGATCACATTAACAAAGTAATTATTGATCAAAGCTTTTATCTTAGCAAATAAACCGCAGCTTGCCTTTTGAGATAAGCAAATGTCAAGTCCCTCCTCTACCTGGTTCCGCAATGACCTATCAAAAAAAAGAGATTACACTATGCCTCATTTGGCCCACCACCACTTCTTACACCCACCATTATCTTGGACTTTTTCTACAAAAAACAATATATTGGACTTGGGATTTCATCTTGTAGCTCAATGACCAAAGCCACCCAACAATTTGAACTAGCATCGGATTCAATTGTAGCTTCTGACAGTTCTCCAACTCGTATTACATGCCACCACACCCTAGAGTCTTGAACGACATTGACCCCAGAAGCATTATTGTTGACATTGCCAATCCTGCTGCAAATCATCTGGCAGATGTTTTGCCATTGGTTAAACCCGCCCTTCTGCTTGTGTGCAATGGTCTCTCGACCCCATTCAAAACTCAGGAAATCGTCACCGTGATTAAACTGAGCTCCCCGGAGAGATTATTGATTCCTCCTCCTCTAATTCAACACAAAAAAGACCTCCAAATATCCATAGTATGATAATCAATCACAACAAGAAGACACCTAGATTTTGTGAACATGACTACATCCCTAGGAGCCTATTAACGGATGTTAAGCCCTACATATTATTGTGAACATGCTAACCATCGTCCCTACCTAGTGTGATATATCGAGATAAGCAATCACAACAAGAAGACATCGAGATTTTGTGAACATGACTACACCCCTAGGAGCCTATCAACGGATGCTAAGCCCTACATATTATTGCACACAAGATAACCATTGGCCCTAGTATTATATACCGAGATAAGGAATCACAACAACAAGACACTGAGACTCTGTGAACATGACTAAACCCCTAGGAGCCCATCAATGGATGCTATGCCCTACATGTTATTGTGCACACGCTAACCATCGGCATCTCTGGCTGCCCACAATGAGACTGCAAACCACCCTACCAACTGGCTTTGATCCCTGGTCTAATATTACAAATTTTGACTCCCTCGTGGTTTTTTTAAAGGGGGAACCCCTCATGATCACTCCATGACATATTCTCGTATATAGGACTCAATGTACACAATATTCAATTCCTAAACGTACCCCTATCCACATGTTACAGTTTCATGTTAAATACTACTACTTTCCTAGGTCAAACATATAAACTTACTTGTCTGATATTTAACATATTCTCCACCACCTAAAAGCCATATTTTCCAATGGAAAGAAGTATATACCAAGGTTTAATTGCATCAAATTTGGACTCCAACTCCAGCGAGTATTGCGAACTTGTTGAATTCATTTAAAAAAGTCACACTGAAACCCTACATGATTCATATCTTTAGTGAAGAGAGAGAGAGAGAGAGAGAGAGAGAGAGAATACTGATTGGTATTATTTTGCACTATTATTGCTTGCATACTCAAATTTAAAAAAGATCCTTAAAGCGAGGCATTAACATTCAATTTATTTTTCATTTTTTGGGCAGGGTATTTGAGGTGCGCAGCTTACACATACCAGTGCATGATCGTACGCCATTTGAAGGTACAAATAGATTGCTTATATTCCAGAAGATATTATTTTCATTAGCTTGGTCTATGCTAATAGAGGCACTTCGTAGTTTTACCAAATAAATATGAGACACCAAACTGTAAGCAAGCGCAATAAATTTTTGAAACAAAGATACATGGTACCTCATGTTTATTTGCATTAAATTTAATTATTCTCGAGATACTTGTAATGTATCCATACTAATATAAAACATACGATTTCTTAGAATTCACAACCTCAAAGCCGTCCATCTAACTATAGTTTAATGACCCATGATTGAATAAAGTTGACCTCCTACAAACTGTATTATACACTAGCTCTCACAATATATCCTCCAACTCTTGCAAATCAGCATGAATTGTGACTTAATTAGGTTCCTCGATATATATTTTCCATATTAGTTTGCTCTAGGCACACCGATAATAGAATGGTTTGATTGGATTTTATTGCTAAATTTTTATAAGACATTGCATATCATGCTTTTTCTGTGATTTTTATGATTGGCACTTCCTTTGTAAATAAATACAAGACGTTTTGGAGACTTAACACAAGTCTCTAAAACGTCTTATATTTATGAATAGAGGGAGTAATATATTATATATTTCAAACTATGACTAGCATCATCTGCTTTGCTATTTCCATCATTTTGATGAATTTATTTAAGTGATGGTTGTATTCTTATAGTATTTTATATGATTTCATAATATTTGTCGAAGCTTGAAAATTCAGTGGTGGGCAAATAGTCTATTTTCATAATACTTAATCACATGGTTTTTTCTTTTATGTTGTTTACTACTGGCTGCTCCACACAACATGTTGTAGTCTCCCCCCTACTTTCTTTGTTTCTTCCGATCATTTGGGTCGCGCTGTAACTGGTTTCCTCCCTCTATTATTCAATGAAAATCAGCGTTGATTACCTTTTAGTAAAACCAACCTTCTCGGTCTAACGTACCCCTCATAACCAATATACCGTTGAGTTTATTCAAATATGTTGCACGTGCACGGGTGCCAGTGTCTTCCACATTGTCACTTCTATATTGTGGCACTTAAACACTAGTGACAGGAACCACCTTCCGAAGATTTAGTGATAGACGTTGAGTTTAAATGCATATAGGGCTACTACAAATTGTGGAAGAATGTATCAAATATGAGAAAGCTTTGTCACCAAACAAACCAATATTTGTAATTGGAGATTCTCTTGGTGGATGCTTGGCACTTCCGGTGGCAGCTCGCAGTCCAAACAGTGATTTGGTTCTTGTACTAGTAAATCCAGGTATGTGAATGTTTTATCTCAGATTTAAGCTGAGAGAGTACTGGCATTTGAAGTTGTAATATAATTTAGTTTGTTCTTTCAGCAATGTCATGTGCCAAAACTACCGTACAAGCAAAGTTGCCTCTTTTGGAACTAATGCCAAGCAACCTTTCAATTATACATCCGCACCTTCTAAGATGTTTGATTGGTAAATTTCTCAACTAACTATTACATCATTTTTGTAGGTAGACTATAATAGTTAGGATGGAGTGAATATTTTCAACCTTTAAACTTGGTATATCAAATGATATTAAATTTAGAATAGCTTCCTCTTTTTCTCCACCATTGTGGCCTTATAACAGCGTTACCCCATTTACATTTGTATACCAAGTGATCGACCTACCACTCTGGTAGGTTGTTGACCACTTCATACCTCATTGACTAGATCCGAGAAGAACTTCCCCTACTTTCTCTTCATTCTAACTACAAGATTTATTGAGAGATATGAGAGAGAAATCCACCTAAGGAAGATCCGTTCATTCTCTTTCTCTCTCTTGACCAAGCAATCTATTGAAGCAAGTCCCGTGCTTTGCCCATCGATCTTATTACTATTGGAGGTTGGAGACTCCTAGGCAGTAGGAGTCTTCGACGAGGAACCAAATTATGACTTACCTCTGAAGTTTGTAAAGAATTGGAAGCGGCCCAAGGTCTACCACTAGTGGCTGGGGAATTGCCTTTGTGGTGAAATCTCATGGAGAAGAAGTTGGGACTTTGTGGTGTTGGTTTCCTTTGTGAATTCACACCTCTCTTCAATGGTTCATAGCTCCCATTCAAGGAAGTAGACATTGGGATACATTTTCTTCTTTGAGTGTCTTCGGTTATCCCTAGCTCTTCCATTTGTTTATTACTTTGGCCCCTTGAATTTGCAAGCATCATATAGGTTGTTAACTAACCATAACATCGTTACGCTCACTTTATATTAAGCAAAGCCTAAACTTGTTAAGAAAATGAACAAATTTGTAGAGAGATATTCACCTTGTGTAGATCCATCTTGATCCTTTCAGCTTGTTTGTCTAGTCAACTATCATGCTGTCCTAGGTGGTGGATCTAGCTAGCATTTCAATTAAAAGATATCATAACTAAGGGTTAAACTATGGAAAAAGTTTAAATGGGGTAAATGCGATCACAAGATCACAATTAACTATAAAAAATAGTAATTTAATCTAAATCTTATTGAAAGTGGATGGTTTTGAAGATAACATTACTTCATGCTTGTTCGTTGAGTCCTTAAGAAAGAGCGGGTGCTTATGTTGTAATGAATGTTCTATGTTGTGGATTTACCATGTCACATAGGTTTCAAAATGTTTTCATAAACGGTCATTTGAGTAATCTTCTTTCAAAGTCTTTCTCGAAAATATAAGTAGGGTTACATAGCCATTTGTGAAAAGTTTGCAAGATACATTTCATGACCAAGAAACTATGTATCACATATGGATTTTCCATGAAAACCTAACTGTGATGACTTATTCATTAAAGGTTAATGCATAATAACCATATATGATACTTATCACATGTCTAATGACATAAAAAAAAATAAGCATTATTTTTTATAGAACTCTAGAGTGTGCTGATTTATCTTGTTTTAGAGCTAGTTAGAAAAGTACTAGCCATTACCTCTAGAAAATAACATATCAACATCATAAGTGCAGTAGATGCATGCTACTTGTGAGCTACGTTGGGATTTTCCCCGAAGAGGAAGGGTGAAGCAATATAGTAGCAGAGAAGCATTTCCCTTATTGAGAACCAAGGTTATCGAACCGATAGGAGAACCACACAAATCCTCGTACTACACACACAAAAGCAAATACTTGCACCCAACGCAGGCAAGAGGGTTGTCAATCCCCTTGAACTTGTTACTTGCAAGGATTAATACTGATAGTGGTAGATTGATAAAAAAACTAAAAAAATAAAATTGCAGTAAGGTATTTTTTGTTTTTGTAATATGATTAAATTGACCCTGGGGCTATAGTTTTCACTACATGTTTCTCTCTTGAAACAATAACACATGGTGGATAAACAAATTACTGTTGGGAAATTGATAGAAAAGCGCATAGTTATGATGTTACTCATGGCAACGATCACATATATAGGCATCACGTCCATAACAAGTAGATTGACTCCTGCCTGCATCTACTACTATTATTCCACCAGCCGGTCACTATTGAGCATGCATCTATGGTATTAAATTCATGACAAACAGAGTAATGCCTTAAGCACGATGACATGCTGTAGACAAAGTAAACCCAATCAATATGAATAAACCCCATCATTTTACCCTTAATGACAACAATACAGATACGTGCCTCGCTAATCCTTCTGTCACTGGGTGAGGACACTGCAAGATTGAACCCATTACAAAACACCTTTCCCACTGAAGATAAATCAATCTAGTTGGCGAAACCAAACAGATAGATCGGAGAGAAATACAAAGCTACGATAATCATGCATAATAAAGTTAATAAAATACTCAATTACTTTCAATGAATAATATGATCATAAACCCATAATTCATTCTATCCCAACAAACACATCGCAAAAGAAGATTACATCGGTAGAACTCCAGGAAGAATGAGGAGAATATGATATTGAAGATCAAAGAGACAGAAAAAACCATCTAGCTACTAGCTATGGACTCGTAGGTTGGTGGTGAACTACTCACACATCATCGGTAGGGAAGCAAGGTTGATGTAGAAGCCCTCTGTCAGAGTACCGAAAATGGCCTCTAGATGGGATCGTGAAGCTTGCTACAACGAAAAAAGTGTTTCCGGTGGCTCTCTTTCGGTTTGGGAATATTTGAGAATTTATAGAGGTGAAATTAGCTCAAACAAAGTTGTGTGGGAGTCACGAGCTCAGGGGGCGCGCCTACCCCCTGGGGTGTGCCCTCTGAGCTCATGGCCCTCCCGTAAGGCTTCTGGCCTCCTCCCGAACCTTCTAGGGTCCCTTCTAGTCCAGAAAAAAATCACCGTAAAATTTCATCGTGTTTGGACTTTGTTTGCTATTGATTTTCTGAAAATCCAAAAACAAGGAAAAAAACAGGAACTGACACTGAGCACTAGGTTAATAGGTCAGTCAAAAAATGATATAAAATAGCATATAAAGCATCCAAGATTGACAGTACAATGTCATGAAACAATTAAAATTATAGATACGTTGGAGATGTATCAATGCACAATTCACGTCACAATTTTTAATTTAACTTATTCACAATATTAATTCAATTAACATTTTCCACATAAAAAATCCACTTAACCAAATCAATTATACCAATTTATCAACTTTGATTTGATCTACCACTCAGCCAAGGTGCGCAACAAGGCATCTGACCTGCTGGTACAAGGGGCTCCCGATCTCCTCCCTCCTTGAGCCACCGCCATCCATGTTCTCGACCCTCGATCTCCTCTTTCATGATCTCCTCCCTCCCAGTCCCCTCCCTCCTGATCCCTTCCCCCTGATCTGATCTAGGGCTTTGAGTCAATGCCACCCCTCTCCTCACCGCTGCCGAAGCTCCATGAGGCAAATCCCAGGCGGAGGATGATGGAGGTGGCGGGGCCTTCCTCCGTTGGGGCTCCGGGATGCGGTTGCGATGGAGATCTGCACGGTTGTCCTGGACACGTGCATCGTCTGGCGTCGGCGGTGCAGCAGTGAGGGACCATCCGCCGTTGATGGCTCACCCAGGCGGGGCAGCGGTTCTGAGCAGTGGTGCGGCTCCGGTCGTGTGGGTTCCCAGCAGCAGACGTCACCCATGGGCGTGCTGGATGAAGGAGGAGGTCAATCTGGTGGTCCAGTCGGGAATGGGCATGAATTTGTCAGCGAAATATTGGTTTGGCCTCGGCCAAAACCGTCAACGGCGACGCCCAAGGGCGTCCTTACCTTGTCCGAGGCGTTGTGGGGCCATTCGCGTTCCCTGTGTGCCCAAGGGGAAACCCTAGTTTCAAGCTTTCCGAATCGAATGATGGTGATGTTCCTGCATTGTCACCCCATGGGGGCATCATCTTCGGGATTGTACACTGGCTGGAGGGACAAGTGCTTGGCTTGGTGGCTGAGCGCAGGTCTCTGTATGCTTCTCGTGCGATGACCAAGGTGGAGTGGCATGCCATCTACAGTCTTGACGACAACGAGTATTGGCAGCAAGGTGCAGCGGTGTCTCGACGTTGGATACCGTTCGATGGGCGCGGATGAGAGAGGTGTTGTTTGGCGTTGTGTTGGCATCGATGGCAGAAGGGTCTAGCAAGATTAGTGCATTGATTGATCCTGAATATGTGACTTCTGAAGAAGGCGGTGACGGATTCTACAACATGCACAAGTGGTGCACGTTTAGGGTCTGCTAGACCGGTTGGTGCTCCCGGCTAGCTGGCAGGTGGCTTGGTGATGCCACCGGATTTCTTGGTGTGCGTGACACGCGGTCAGGGCACATCATCAATCTTGTAGGTAGGGCGACAATTTTTGCCAGGAAGGTGGCTATGGGTTGATCTATGTATTTATTTTGTAAGACCTTGTTGAATAATGCAATAAAGATGGTTGTGTGCATAAATCAACTTTGACTTAATTTTCTATAAATGGTTGAACCTAGATATGGGGTTCTACATCGATCCACTCCCCCAACTAAGCGAGATATGTCAGTTCTGTTTAAAACAATACTTCACTAATAATTCAAGATAGTGCAATGTGGGTTGCCTTTTTTCTATTCCGACTCTTGATTTTTCCTGTACTTCTCCAAGCAAAGTCTAGGATACATCACATATATGAACCACTGATGGATTATCCACACGTGTGTGTGCTACTTCACCTGCGGTTTCTCCTATGAACCATTGGTGATACTTGTGTACCAATCCAAATGAGTGAGGGCCATTCATATGATTCCACTTGTGAAACTACATTGTGATGCTTTTTCTTTTATGATTTTCAGAAACTTTTTGTGATGAACTGCCTAATATAAGTGTTTTCTAGGAGTGATCCATCCTTTATTGCAAGGGTACTCCATGAATGAAATCAACATGTTCCTTGAATAAACATACAATGATTACAGTGAAATAAATAAATGCAATTGTGTGAAGAACCATTAGTACCTAATATTTTAGGGAGACTATTACTCGTCATTATATGAGCCAGTATAGTACATGTTTTAATGTACAATTTTTTTGAAATGAATTTAATATATTTCTTAATTTTGCCTACCTACGTTGGTCAATATTAGAAATCAGGGTCTTCCTGATATATCATTTGTTTGGTGAAATAGGTGAACCCCTTAAGATGGCCATGGTGAGCATTCAAAATGACCCTTCTCTTCAAGGGGCTCTGCCAATGTTTTCACAAACTCTTAGCTCTATGCTAACTTTAACTTCTGTAAGTTATCACTCCTTCTCCATTTTCTATCACCTTCAGTTCTATGCAAATGTATGTGTTTACAGTTTAGAACAATATTTAGCATTTAGCAACAGTCTTCATCACTAACAACCAAAAAATTCAACAAAGTATTCTCAACTCTGAAGTCCAATTACATGGTCTAAATAGGTAATGAAAGATGATACAAGGCGGATAATTCCCATTCGTTTGCCTTACTTTTGGATTGAGAGCGCAACAATAGTAGATCATCTTTGTTTTGCAGTTTATGCATCCTTGCCACTTTTTAGGAAATTGGACATATCATAGAAATGGATACTGTTGTGTGGAGGCTCAAGCTTCTTAAGTCAGGTGCAGCCTATGCCAACTCTCGTCTTCATGCAGTACAAGCGGAAGTTCTGCTTCTTGCCAGGTGCTTTTTTTTCATATAAGTGTATCAAGCATTCAATTGATCAATTGATTCATATTCCTTGTTGAGTCGCAACCTTTACAAATTTGTTCTCACACTCCAATATATTTGGGTTTTAGTGGCAATGAGAACCTTCCGCCAAGTGGAGAAGCAGATCGACTGTTTAAGACGCTGAAAAATTGCAAAGTTAGATACTTTAGGAACCGGGGTCACACACTACTAATGGTATGCGATATATATATATATATATATATATATCATGCTCCACGATGACTTTGTTTTCACTTGATCTGTTGATGTTAATTCCTAATTCTCTTGAAAAACAACGAACTACTCTACCTTGGCTTTCAGTACGACTTGTACAATAATGCTCACAGTTCAATGTCTTTACACAGGAGCAAGATTTTAATCTGCTAACTGTCATAAAAGGGGTCAACATGTATCGCCAAGGCAAAAAACGGGACATTGTGACCGATTTCCTTCCACCTACATTTGCTGAGTTCAAGAAATCAACTGAAGATTTCAAGTATGTATTTAATCTCTCAAAGATGCACTCTACCATGGCAGGGTATTTATCTAGGATAACAGGTTGATTTGCTGAAACTCTTCTTCAGACAACTCAATGAATTACTAAGCCCAGTTATGTTGTCTACTCTGGAGACTGGAAAAATTGTTCGTGGACTCACCGGTATTCCTGACAAAGGTCCTATCCTGTTTGTGGGTCATCACCAACTCCTAGGGATAGAGGTACCTTCACTTTTTCAAGGGTTCTTGAAAGAGAAGAAAATAACTATCCGAGCATTGTCCAACCCAGTATTTTTTGTTGGAAACAATTGGGCTTTGCGTCAGGAGTTGTCTCTATTCGATGTAGTATCCGTATATGGCGGAGTACCAGTCAGTCCAATCAATATGTATAAGTTACTTGAGAAAAATGAATCCGTTCTCCTCTATCCAGGCGGTGCGCGGGAAGTTCTGCATCGAAAGGTGTACTTGAACAAAACAATTTTTTTTGTATTTGTACACATGATTTCATGTTCGCTCCCACCATGAATATCAATTGTCCCCCAGATGTACTTATTATGTCTGAACTGACTAGGGTGAAGGCTACCGGTGTTTTTGGTCAGATAAACAAGAATTTATAAGAATGGCTGCCAGATTTGGAGTTACTATCATACCATTTGGTTGTGTCGGAGAAGATGACATTTTGGAGGTATTATTATGTGCCTTTGTACTGAATCAACTCAAGGAACATGGTGTTGGTATTCACAAAAAAGGGGAATGTGTTGTTGGTACTTTTATTTACCCTGATTTAGTTTACTAATTTCATTCATTCTGATGCAGAGGCCGGGGGATAACCTCCTTTTCAATTTTTTTTACTAATTTCATGACTTATGCATTGTAACAGAATATTATTCCACAAATTAATCTTCCTTTTCTAAGAGAGAACGTATTTGCTAATTATTTGTTCCTTCTGCAGATAGCTATAGATTACAATGATCAAAAGAACATCCCTTATCTCAGAGACTGGATAAAATCATTCAATGCAGATCTTCCAAGTGTAAGGTCAGACATCTATCTTCCTAACTAGTTTCCCTTGGATCAAAAGGAAAAAATAACCAAGTATTTTCCGTCACAAAATTATTTGATCAACACAAGCCATGCTCCAACTTTATTTCAGAGATACTGTGATTGGGGAGGATGGGAACCAGGTCTTGCATCTCCCTGTCGTTCTCCCTAAAATACCAGGTCGCTTGTACTTCCTGTTTGGCAAGCCAATCGAGACGAAAGGAATGGACAATCTCCTGATGGACAAGAAACTAGCAAACGATCTCTATCTACACACAAAATCTGAAGTGGGGAACTTAGTGTCTTATCTTAAGAGGAAGAGAGAAGAAGATCCTTACCGAAGTATAATGCGTCGCACTTTGTACCGGGCCATTTTGGGTGCTTCAGCTCAAGTCCCTACTTTCAAGCCCTGAAAACAGGATGTGGATGTACTTTTGTTGTATGGTTATTTTTCTGTATGGAAAATCTTGTAGAGTACTACTCCCTCCGTCCCATAATGTAAGACGTTTTTTGACACTAGTGTAGTGTCAAAAAACATCTTACATTATGGGACGGACTAGTGTCAAAAAACGTCTTACATTATGGGATGGAGGGAGTACTTTATATACATGTTTATTAGTTCTAGGCAAAATGTCCAACATTGCTCTTGTACCTCAGAATATATAGTTTGGAACGGGAGAACACGTATAGCACCATTCACTTGTCAGACTTGCATGTGTGTGTTTGTAAGGACAGATAGTGCTTAATATATGGCTTATTCACAAAAAATATGACTTGCACTGGGGTTGATGGAGTCATGGAGAGAATATAAGCAGTACAAAGATGGATCACAATGTGCAGGAACCGCATATAATCAACCTGTTTTAAGAAAATCAGGAGTCTGACCAAGATTAATCTGAGGGATTTGTATAGCAGCTGATCCGCCATAATCCACCAGCTATTTTTCTGTTATATTTTTTTGAGGATCATTTTTCTGTTTTTTTTTTGAAAGGGATCATTTTTCTGTTTTATATAAGAATATCCTGTATGTGGGGTGCTGATATATATCGCTTCAAGCGAGCTCTGGGGGAAACGCCTACAATCCGGTTTATGGGCCAGGCCCAAAGCTCGATGGGAAGCGCGTGCCTCTCCCAGGGAACCACGCAGTTTTTTTTCTTTTATTATGAGCAATGCACACATCGTTTTTTATTTTCTTCCCTCTCTGTCTCCTTCGGTTTGGTTTTTCACTTTTTTTTCTGATTTTTTTGAAAAACCAAACCAGAAAATTTAAAAATGTTCACTATTTCTTCTTAAATCTTGAATTTGTGAAAATGTTCAATAATTTCTAATATGTTCACGGAATTGAAAAATGTTCATGAATTCGAAAAAAATTCTAAAATTTGAATAATCTTCACGAATTTTAAAAATATGTTCTTGAATATAAAATCGTGAATTTTTTAAAATGTTCATGGATAGAAAAAAAACCATGAATTTGAAAAATATTCACAAATTAACCAGATAAAGGAAAATAGAAAATCAAAAATGAAAGAGATATAGGAAAAACTGGTGAGGAAAACAGAAAAATAAAAAAGAAAAAAAAACTTTTGGAACCCTGGAAGGTTTCAAAGCCTCCAAAAATCGGCTGGCGGTTCACGCCCAGTAGTGCGTAATAGGTTGGCCAAACAAACAGTGCATCTTAGGCCTTTTGACCATTAAGAAGAAACGGAAGGGTTGAGGACAACAACTGAGTGCGTCGCCGCGTGGAGTCGGGCACCGCCAATGTGACATCTCGGAGGAAGCAGCCGACTCATGTCCTAGTTGTCTAGTTGCATTACCGTCATTGTCGTGGAGCCAATGCAAGTAACGATGAGATGGCGGAAAGTTATCTTGTACTCCCAAGCTCAAATGCTCCGTGAACAATAGAACAATAAAAATTCAAAAAAAATCAGAATTATTTTTATGAAAAACTTTTTTTTGCGTTAAGGAGGGAAAGAGTAGTTACACAAGATGAACCCAGGATCAACTGGGTTAGCAACTAAGGCAGAGTACAAAACAGAAATTGAAAGCAAACCACTTAAGAAACAAAGGCTGCTGCCACTCCATCTGTCTCAGGTTCATGTATTCAACTGAGGTCATAACTTGCCCCCTCTCATTTGCCATCCAAACATGACCCAAAGAAAAGAAAAAACGCTTCAGCACTTAACAACAGTATTGCACGGGCTTTCAACGCAGTTTCAGAGATAACCATTTTCATCAGTCATTAAACAACACAAACAACAGCTTTTCAGCATTCATTCTGTTAGAAGTATAAACGTAGAGATAAGGAGAGATAGAGATAAACTTAGTTTAAACACATAATATCTTGCCTTGTACTCCAAACCTCTACCCCTCGTGTACTTCTATATATACCCCTACGAGGGTTAGATCAATATAACACAAATATTCAGCCATCCAATAGTTTTCACATGGTATTAGAGCGGTTAGTCTCACGATGCCGATCCTAAGACCTTTCACATCTTCCGCAGCGCGCCGCCTCCGGGGAGATTAATCTTCTCTCCCCGGAGGTGCGGCATTCGGTCAATCAAAGATTCGACCGATTTGGTAGATTAGATCAATTCCAATTTCCGAAATTCTAGTAGATTGATTCGCCTTTCTTTTAGACACCAATAAATCCATCAACCCTCAAAATCCGGTTGAGAAAATTGCATAGAAATCCATCACTTCATGCAGTGTGCGCGGCTTCTATACGGCGGCGATTCAAGGCGGCGCTCCCTCGATGCCAACGGAGACGGCTATGCGTGGCGCTCTTCTCATCGACCAAGATCGACCAGCAACCCTCGCGCGGACCAGGCATGGCGAGCCTGCCGCGGAGGCGGATGCACAGACTCGCAGAACTTCATCAACAGATGCACACGCAGCCTCTCACAACGTGGGACACGAAGCAACCAGCAGTCCGAGGTACGTGCATGCACTCAGATGAAGCTTCAGTCACGTCTCCGCGTACGCGTCTGCGGACGCACGAACTTGGAGCTCCGGCGGCTTGGATCGATCGGATCTCCGATCGTTGGCCGTGCCTACGGTCGTACACGGATCATCTTCTTCTGGTACGCGGATAACATCGACCCGACCTGCAACTACATCGACACCAGCACCAATCAAACGACTACACCGAGCCCTCCTGCACCTGCATCGACCGCCGCCGCCGATCTGTGCACGGCTACACCGACGCCCTTGCATCGAGCCGAACGACATCAAGTTGTACGATTACGCCAGGCTACTTCTTCGACACGACACGGCATCGACACCTCGTCGCCGCGAGGGACGCCTTCAAGCGACACATCGTCGACGCGCCGCCGTGATGCCATAGCTCACAATTCATCGCCAAGGTCTTCATCAATGTGGTCTTCATCAACATTTTCGTCGACACACCGCCGCTGCTTTGTCCACAACATGGAAACCTAGCGTCCTCTGACAGACTTTCTGCAAGACGCGACTCTGATGGCTGCAATGACCGCGTCATCCACGACAGCACGACTGCATCGACACAGCGTCACTATAGTGGCGACCCTACACGGCCACACGGTTCTGGCAAAACCGATGTGTGCTTGATGGGCTTCCTCCGGTCTTGGCAAAACCGGTGGACTCATCGCCGACAACACCCTCTGACATCCGCAAGGTGCATCATCCACGTCTGCAGTTCCGTCATAGCGCATTTTTTTGCGCCTCCGGCTTTGTGCGGTTTCATCATCCACGACGACCACACCATCGACCACGACTACCTCGACCACGGCTACATCGACATCGACACACACGACCACGTCTACAACAACACATCGGCGACAACTCCAGTCAACAGCGTCCGCGTCGTCACCAGCATCCACGCCACTCCCGCTGTGACTGTGGGAGGGAATAGAGGAGAGACAAGGAAGGCACCAGAAGGGGACGTAGTCACCGCCCTAGGTGTCGACCCATCAGAGACGTAGTAATGATGGCGCAGCGGAAAAGACGACGGAAGCACAAGACTTCAAATTCAGTCGTAATCATCCGCTTCACTCCCACTACGACTGAGGGGGAATGTTAGAAGTATAAACATAGAGATAAGGAGAGATAGAGATAAACTTAGTTTAAACACATAATATCTTGCCTTGTACTCCAAACCTCTACCCCTCGTGTACTTCTATATATACCCCTACGAGGGTTAGATCAATATAACACAAATATTCAGCCATCCAATAGTTTTCACACATTCAACAACACAAACAACTGCCATATATGTTGTATGAATTTGCATACGTTAAAACTGACACTTAATATGGTATAGCTATCACCATTCATCACTTCACATTGAAAAAAAATAGCAGTCCAGGTATGCCGTACCAAATCATTAATTCTTAAATTCAGACAACCCATTCATCAGAGAAATTCTGAAGCACTAAACCGAAATTCCGTCCCTCTTGCCACCGAAATTCAGAAGTATTTAAAAATTCTCTTGCAACAAGTGCTACTACTAAACAGTCATTCGAGTGCATAAATTTAGACATGTCACCCACACAATAAAAAAGATATAATTACACTGAAGCACTAACAAATATAATTACAGAGTGAAAGCTCTGCGCTTTGGCACTGACAGCGGCACCACCCGCTGGTGCCACTTTCCTCTTGAGGACGCCGTCGCGGTTCTCCTCCCCATGCAAGGGCTCCAGGTTAAAACTGATGTGTGTTACCCTTTTGGGAGTGTTGTCGTGCAGCTCAGATGCCTGGTTCAATGCAGACATTGTCTTCAGGCCTTCATGTGCTCATGCTTGGCAGCGTAGTCATCTTGTTTTCTGCCTTTTGGTGTTTTTATGCAATTCCTGTTGTCCGGTTATCCCGAAATTTGCTTTATATATGAGGACCACAACGAGCATCCTTACAATTATGGTACCTCTGCCTTTGTTAGAGCATCTCTAGCAGACCCCTTAAACCGCGGAACTGAAAACGCGGTTTTCAATTCATGGAAAACACATTTTAAGGGTTGATTTGAGCTGCGGCCGAATAGACCCCTTAAACTTAGACTGTAAAACCGAATATTCGTGTATATTCCTCCCCACGTCTTTTTCTTCCTCTCGCTCATGTTCATGGTCAGCTCCCGTCGTCGTAGTCGCCAAATTGATCCAGGAGTGAGCTCCTTCGTTGCCGGATGGATCTGGGAGCTAGCTAGCTTGTCCGTGGCTGGATGGATCCAGGAGCTTGCTAGCTAGCTAGCTAGCTCATCCGTGGCCGGATCAATCCAGGAGCTTAGCGAGCTCCTCCGTAGCTACTCGAGTTTCCGGCGATGGTGGCTAGGACGGACGGGCGGCAGCTGGGGATGGACGTGCGGTGGCTTTCCGGATGAGCAGGGCGGCGGCCGGGAGCGAGCCTGAAGATTCCGATGGCAGTTGGACTTCCGCCAATG